CCCCCACACACCCCATGGCAGCGTATGGGAAGTTGGGGTTCCCCTTTGGGGCCCCCCCCCCCAACGCGCCCCGGATGCACGTGGGGACAAAGCCGGGGCCCCAGCGCCACGTGGGGCCTGGTCATAGGGCAGGGGGCTCCCCCCCCCAACCCCATATTGGGGGTCAGGGATGAGCCAGGGGGGAGGACCCAAGGTTGAGGTTGGGGGGTGATGAGGGGGTCAGGGCAGGGCTCTATGGGGGTACCAATGCACTGCAATGGTGGGGTCAATGCAGTGCAATGGGATCTGTGAAGGGCAATACTGGGGGTACCAATGCAGTGCAATGGGGAGGTTCCATGCACTGCAATAGGGTCAGTGCAGTGCCCTATAGGGGGTACCAATGCACTGCAATGGTGGGGTCAATGCAGTGCAATGGGATCAGTGCAGGGCAATATTGGGGGTACCAATGCAGTTCAATGGGAGGGTTACATACACTGCAATAGGATCAGTGCAGTGCCCTATAGGGGGTACCAATGCACTGCAATGGGGTTGTCAATGCAGTGCAATGGGATCAGTGCAGTGCCTTATAGGGGGTACCAATGCAGTGCAATGGGGGGGTTCCATGCACTGCAATAGGGTCAGTGCAGTGCCCTATAGGGGGTACCAATGCACTGCAATGGAGGTGTCAATGCAGTGCAATGGGATCAGTGAAGGGCTCTACGGGGGGTACCAATGCAGTGCAATGGGGGGGTTCCATGCACTGCAATAGGATCAGTGCAGTGCCCTATAGGGGGGTAGCAATGCACTGCAATGGGGGTGTCAATGCAGTGCAATGGGATCAGTGAAGGGCTCTACAGGGGGTACAAATGCAGTGCAATGGGGGGGTTCCATGCACTGCAATAGGGTCAGCGCAGTGCCCTATGGAGGGTAGCAATGCACTGCAATGGGGGTGTCAATGCAGTGCAATGGGATCAGTGAAGGGCTCTAGAGGGGGGTACCAATGCAGTACAGTGGGAGGGCTCCATGCACTGCAATAGGGTCAGTGCAGTGCCCTATGGGGGGGTAGCAATGCACTGCAATGGTGGGGTCAACGCAGTGCAATAGGATCAGTGCAGGGCAAAATTGGGGGTACAAATGCAGTGCAATGGGGGGGTTCCATGCACTGCAATAGGGTCAGCGCAGTGCCCTATAGGGGGTACCAATGCACTGCAAAGGGGATGTCAATGCAGTGCAATGGGATCAGTGAAGGGCTCTAAGGGGGTACCAATGCAGTGCAATGGGAGAGTTCCATGCACTGCAATAGGATCAGTGCAGTGCCCTATGGAGGGTAGCAATGCACTGCAATGGGGGGGGTCAATGCACTGCAATAGGGTCAGTGGAGTGCCCTATGGGGGCACCAATGCACTGCAATGAGGATGTCAATGCACTGCAATAGGGCCAGTGCAGGGTGCCCTATCAACTGGTGCACTGCAATGGGGGTGTCAATGCAGTGCAATGGGATCAGTGAAGGGCTCTGCAGGGGGGGTGCATGCAGTGCATGGGGGGTTCCATGCACTGCAATGGGACCAGTGCAGTGCCCTATGGGGGGTACCAATGCAGTGAAATGGGGGTGACAATGCACAATGGGGTGCAATGGGGTCAATGCACTGCAGGGCCTGCATGCAATGGGGGTGCCCTATGGGCGGTACCAATGCACTGCACTGCAATGGGGGTGTCAATGCACTGCAACGGGGTCAGTGCAGGGCTGTATTGGGGGGTATCAATGCACTGCAATGGGGGTGTCAATGCATGCAATAGGGTCAGTGCAGGGCTGTATTGGGGGGTACCAGTGCACTGCAATGGGGGTGCCAATGCATGCAATAGGGTCAGTGCACTGCTGTATTGGGACGTACCAATGCAGTGGTGGGAAGTATCAACGCACTGCAACAGAGTCAGTGCAGTATCATAACAGGAGGGTTCCATGCACTGCAATGGGGGGGTTCATGCACTGCAATGGGGTAAGCGCAGGGCCCTATGGGCGGTACCAATGCACTGCAATGGGGGTGTCCATGCACTGCAATGGGGTGAGCGCAGTGCCCTATGGGCGGTACCAATGCACTGCAATGGGGGGGTTCAATTCACTGCAATGGGGTGAGCGCAGTGCCCTATGGGCGGTACCAATGCACTGCAATGGGGGGGTTCCTGCACTGCAACGGGGTCAGCACAGTGCCCTATGGGCGGTACCAATGCACTGCAATGGGGGGGTTCCTGCACTGCAACGGGGTCAGCGCAGTGCCCTATGGGCGGTACCAATGCACTGCAATGGGGGGGTTCCTGCACTGCACCGGGGTCAGCACAGTGCCCTATGGGCGGTACCAATGCACTGCAATGGGGGGGTTCCTGCACTCACCATCAGTGCAGTGCCCTATGGGCGGTACCAATGCACTGCAATGGGGGGGTTCCATGCACTGCAAGGGGGTCTGCGCAGTGCCCTATGGGCGGTACCAATGCACTGCAATGGGGGGGTTCCTGCACTCACCATCAGTGCAGTGCCCTATGGGCGGTACCAATGCACTGCAATGGGGGGGTTCCTGCACTCACCATCAGTGCAGTGCCCTATGGGCGGTACCAATGCACTGCAATGGGGGGGTTCCTGCACTCACCATCAGTGCAGTGCCCTATGGGCGGTACCAATGCACTGCAATGGGGGGGTTCCTGCACTGCAACGGGGTCAGCGCAGTGCCCTATGGGCGGTACCAATGCACTGCAATGGGGGGGTTCCTGCACTGCAATGGGGTCAGCGCAGTGCCCTATGGGCGGTACCAATGCACTGCAATGGGGGGGTTCCTGCACTCACCATCAGCGCAGTGCCCTATGGGCGGTACCAATGCACTGCAATGGGGGGGTTCCTGCACTCACCATCAGTGCAGTGCCCTATGGGGGGTACCAATGCACTGCAATGGGGGGGGGTTCCTGCACTCACCATCAGTGCAGTGCCCTATGGGCGGTACCAATGCACTGCAATGGGGGGGTTCCTGCACTCACCATCAGTGCAGTGCCCTATGGGCGGTACCAATGCACTGCAATGGGGGGGTTCCTGCACTCACCGTCGGCGCAGCTCCGCGGGCAGCGGGGCCGGGGGCAGCGTCGCGGCCCGGGCCGGCATCGGGGCGGCGGCGGCGGCGGGAGCGGGCGGCGGGTTCGCGGGAAAACAGCGACGGGGGCGGGGCGGAGCCGGGCGAGACCATGGAGTTGGCGGGAAAGGGGGGGGGGGGAAGAGACCATTCCGCGCGGGAAAGGGGGGGGATGTGGGGGAAATGGGGGACGCGCACACACACACAACCCCCCCCCCCGCCCCCCCCCCCAAGCACAGAGGGGATGGGGGGGGGCCGGGGTCGGTACCGGAGCTCAGCAGGGATCAAACCACTGCGGGGATGGGGGGGGGCATGGGATGTACCATTGGAGAGGGGGGGAAAGGGGGGGCACGGGGCAGGGCGCTGAGGGAATGAGGGGGTAACACGGGTCCTATCGGAGCGGGTGTTGGGCTGAACCATTGAGGGGATGGGGGGGTGGGCTGGGCCACTGGGATGAAGGGGGGGAATGAGATGTACCACTACGGGGAAAGGGGGGGGAATGGGCTGTACCACTGTTGAGGGATTGATGGGATGGGCTGTACCACTGTTGGATGCAGGGAATGGGCTGTACCACTACGGGAAAAGGGGGGTGGAATGGGCTGTACCACTGTTGGGATGCAGGGAATGGGCTGTACCACTGTTGGGGGATGGATGGGATGGGGTGCACCACTATGGGAATGGGGGGGGGGAATGGGCTGTACCACTGTTGGGATGCAGGGAATGGGCTGTACCAATGTTGGGGGATGGATGGGATGGGGTGTACCACTATGGGAATGGGAAGGGAATGGGCTGTACCGCTGTTGGGGTGCAGGGAATGGGCTGTACCACTATGGGAAAGGGGGGGTGGAATGGGCTGTACCACCGCTGGGGGATGGATGGGATGGGCTGTACCACTACAGGGAAGGGGGGGGGGGGAACGAGCTGTACCCTTGCGGGGTTGTACCACAGGACCCAGCCCTCCCCCGGACGCGCTGTTCCATAGCACCAATTGGGGGGGGGGGGGCGCCCCCCACCGGTTGGGACCCCGCCGTGGGGCAGCAGAGCCCCTTGGGGCTCCTTCAGGCCCCGCCACCCCTCGCACCCCCCTATGGCCGCCCCAGCCCCTCATTGCGGCGTCCAGCGCCAGCCAAGGGCGCTTCCATCCCCATCCCGACGGGGTCCCCGTGCCCGGCCCCACGGAGCCAAAGGGGATGGGGAAGCACCGGAGATCCCCCCCCCCCCCCCCCCCCCCGGGGGGGTCACTGCGAGGGCACAGACGGGGGGAGGGGGGACCCGTCCCGACGGGGACGGAAAGGAAGCGAAACATCCCCCCCCCTCCCCCCCCCCCGCTTCCGCTGCACCCCCGCGGGGGAGGAACAAAGAGAAGGGGGGGGGGAGGGGAATTCCCGCTCCCAAAAACCCCGGAAATTCCCCCAAAACTGCGCCCCACGGGGGGGCGGGAGGGGGATCCGCATCCATGGGGGGTGATGGGCGCTGGAAGGAGCAGGATGCAGATGGAAAAACGCCGCTTTAATACAACCCTTTGGGGGGGCACAGGGGGGAAAAGGGGGTTTGGGATGGGGATGGGGGGGGGGGATATGGGGTGACCCCAGCGGACCGGCCGCGATCCCCCCCCTCTTTCTATGTGCCAGCACATGGGAAGAGCATGGAGCAGGGTCCATGGAGGGGGGGGGACAATACACAGGGATGGGGATTGGGGGACACCACCCCCCCCCAGCGCTGGGAGCAGCCAATGGGGAAGCAGATTTGCCCATCGGTGCTGTGGGCCCCGTTGGACCGAGCGGCATTCCCGAGGGATCAAGGTGCAATGGTTCCATCCATCCGTACCTAAGGATAACCCCCCCCTCCCATCATCATCCTCATCATCATCATCGTACCGCGGCAACCCCAATCGGGGCGCCGGTGCCCTTAGACCGAGGTGGTGCAGTCACGGGTGATGGGCGCCGTGGGGCAGGGGTGGTCGGGGCTGCAGCGGTCCAGGGATGCGGAGGAGCGGGCGCAGCGTCGTCGTCGTCGCCGATCGCCGCAGCACAGCAGGCGCAGGAGCTCGCGGCGCATGTCCTTGCTGCGCAGCGTGTAGATGACGGGGTTGGCGGCGGAGTTGAGCGTGGCGAAGGCGAAGAAGTAATGGGCTTTGTAGAGCACGCGGCAACGCTGCGCCGCGCAGGCGGCGTCCACCAAGAGGATGACGAAGGCCGGGAGCCAGCAGACGACGAAGGCGCCCAAGACGATGGTGACGGTCTTGAGCAGGGCCAAGGTCTGCGCGGCGGCGATGTCGGCGTGGCTGGAACGCGCCACGCAGTAGATGCGGCCGTAGAGGCCGGCGATGGCGGCGAGGATGAGGGTGAAGATGGTGATGACGAAGAGGAGGTAGCGTTTGGAGTAGAGGGGCAGCACGGAGGAGCAGTCGCGCAGGTCGCTCAAGC